CACAGGTCTATAGTCCCTTGAAGATGTGAATAAATCAAACTTATTCTTCTTAACGTAAAATAAGATATGGCCGTAACCCGCATTTCGACACTCTCACGGGAATTAAAATTTATAGGGTTCTGCCCGTTGACCTTGAACTATGAAATTATGCAAGTAACATTGTCTTATACTACAAGTACAGGGAAAAATCTGATAACTATACATTTGTAATTAAATCATAAAGAATATATTATTTATTTAAAGTACGTAATCAATCATACATTATTACACACACGGTACAATTCACTTATAAAACTCAAGAATATAAGTAGTTATATAGGTTTTGTAACTTGGTGTAACTGAATTTCGAATCGATTCCTGAACTAATTGTAATATGTACCTACAAATTTGCACGGAGCCTTCAGTGAACGAGCCCAACTCGCACTTGACCGGCTTTTTTTTATTGAGCATAAATATTGTCATTCTACCTGGAGAACTTTTAAGAGAAGAGTTACAAGGATTCGGAGATTTTTTGCTTCATTTGTAACCAGTTAACTAGTGCATAACTTATTTAGTGCTACTGAACTTGGCTATTTTTTGTGTTATAACGGATTGTCTATGTTTTTTGTAATTTTGTTTTTCAGTCTCTGTTCTTTATCTCGCTGTTGGTTTGTTTAAATAACTGTCCGAGTTCTCTTTCATCTCCTTAGTTTTGGATTTAGTGCAAATAATTTCAGTGCGTCTTTTATTAAGATTTTATTATTTTCTGCATATTCCAGTTTAGCTTAAAGTTGGTGCTTGTTCTAGAATATCATAATAGTCTTTGACATTTATAGGTTCTTCTACTTTTTTTCAAATTTGTAAGATCTGAGTGTGTTTATGTACCTATGCCTTAAAATCATCTAGGGTTAGTAGGATATTTGGGGTTGATTTAAAGTTCTTCCTGCTCTTTTTCGGGACACGTAACCTGACCATAGCTCACAGCCACACACAGTCCTTGGGCTCTGGAGCTGGTTTGATGATAGAATCAGAAGGTAGATAGAGAAAGACTTTAGTAGCTAGTAGACCTCAGAGAGGCTCATATGATTCCTTATAACAAGTCCAAAAGATTGTGCTTGGTGGGGATAATCTGATGAGGAAGTCTGAGTCAGGAAGTCTACATTGGGACTCTTTTTAATTTGATTTGCTTCCTATTAAAGCAAGTTTTATTTCATTTTATTAAATGGTAATTATGTTGCAGCTATACGAAGATATTGCAGTTTCCTCTTTATTTATTCATTCTCATTTTATTTTTAATAAGTTCAAATTCAATAAGTTAAACAGTCTGTAAGAGAATAGAGTTGTATAAGATTAACAAAATGCATTCGTCAATAGCTTTTTATCATTTTGTAAACGTAATTAAATATTAAAAGTAATCAATTTGTCAAGAGCAAAATGTGACGTCAAAAGTTGAACACGGCTTTTTGCCATACTGGAGTACCGTTTCTAATACAAGACTCCTCTGTTTTTCCTACCCCAATGTATCCCTTTACTTTCTGGAAACAATTACATTCCAAAGGAGGACAGGAAGATGATCATGATTTTTAAGTACAAATCATTTCACATCATATCACCTCAACAGCCTTTAATAGTCCACTGCTGGACATAGTAGACCAAAACCTCATTTCTAAGGAGAGGCCTTAGAAAGGAGGTTTTGGTCTACTATGCCACGCTGGCCAGACGGGTTGGTATAGGTTTTTGTCAAGTTTTCCTTATCATTGCAGTGCAGTTGTTCTACGTAGTTTGCTCCCATGGTCAGGTCCTAACACCCACGGGATGAATAGGGTTCGTAATCCGTCACACGGATCCTTCACATCAATCCAGACCAAATCTTTTACAGTGTAGCAACACATCACCTTCAACGTATTTAAACATTTGCAAAATTAATACTCATAGCTTAAACAATTTAATGGACTTCCTTCCTCATTTTTCACTATTGTCGACATACCAACCCGCCCACGACCTGCTAAGAGGTATATCGCTAAAAGCGTCCATTTTACACCGAGGTCATTGACATCATATTCAAGGTGTTATCATAAAATCCTCCATTACCGACTGATTTCCTGCTGAGCTTGACGCGAGGAAGATGTTACAACAAATTACACCGATATAAATGGTTGTTACCAAATATTTTGGAAGTACAACAAAAGTGGAAGAGTCATACTTCGGCACATAATATATGGATCGAACGGAGTGATAGCACGGTCTCATAGAAAACCAGTCTTAAGCAATTCTTTCTCAGTTTTTAGGGGGGTACTTAAAGGGCGGCAAAGCACTTGCGACTCTTAAGTTGCAGATTCCATTGGCGGTGGTCTGCTCGTTTGCCCCCAAAAAAACCCGAGACAGCCATAAGAACTGCCGACAGAACTGAACCAAAAATCGTTCAAAGCGGCTAAAGAAGTTTTCACTTCAAAAACTTCGTTGCGTTGATGACTTGGTGATGATAGAGGTAATTAACCAACTTACTGGTGCCTGCGTTGCAGTTGTCCATAAGCGACGGTAGGTGACCCGTCAATCTAAACTATAATTAACATGCGCGAAACCGCAGGGAAATATTTAAGTGGTTAATTCCTCAAAGTAACACATCTTCACAAAAAAAAAGCTTTTGTTGAAATTATTACAGAAATAAAAGTTGTGAGTGTGGATTACAATGCAACTCTTATTTGCATTGTAATCCACACTCGACTATCAGTTCTAAACTTCTAAATAACTATTTCCCATACCCCTGTAGCTTCTTGTACTCAGGTAAAGTCTTTTGATTTGTTTTTGTTTGGAAATAAATAAATGTACAGAAATAATGAAGTGTAGAGGCATCTAGACAGACTTAAACCGACACGCTCGTCTGAAATAAACGATGAATTAAATGTGGAAGTGGCGTAAGGTATATGTGTATATTTTTCAATCTTATTCTAAATGGCAATTTATCGTCTTTAATTACGTATGTGTTTATGTTATTGTATGTATGTACGGAGAGAGTATACGGAAACAGTCTACTGCTGGACATATACTTCTTTTTAGAAAGGAGGTTTTGGCCTACTGTACCACACTGGCCAAACGGGTTGGTATAGGGTTTGTTTTAAGATTTCCTTCTCTTTGCAGTGTTGTTGTTCTACGTATTTAGTTTCTTTGGTCGGCTCTTACGACAACCACCGGATAAATAGGGGTGATGACAAGAGGCTGTTGATGGTGATGATGAAATAATATTAATTTAAAAAAGGAATGCTTTCTCCAATTAAATAAAGATCCAATTTAAAGGACCTACCTACCTAGGAACTACCTACGATGACTGGACAGTTGTTTAACTTTAAGTAGAGTTACATTTTATGTTACTAACGTGATTATACATAGGGCTTTTATTTTAAATTTTTACACTCCTTTAGCTCACAAAGATCCACGATAAAATAAAAAAATATTGCTTCAATTACTTGTAAGTACATATTTAGTACCAATTACGCAATACGACAATTCCTTTGCTATATATATATACCTATAAGCACACGGTTATTGACAGTCAAGTTAAAATCAACATCTCTTTATGAAATAACTTCGTTTTATTCCAATAATTTTCTTTAAATTGTTTATTTTATAACCAAGAATTTAGTAACGAAAGTAAAATTAGTAGCGACTCTCGTGTTTTATATAATTTTAGAAAGAATTAAAAAACGGTCTTATGTAACTTTTTTTAAAGACCGTAAATAATACATTTCTTTCTTCAGAAAAAAAAACAATATATTCTCCTACTGAAACAGTGAGCCAGTAACATTGTAACATCTGTCTTTGGCCTTGCTGTCCTGGATCGTAAGGTCTGAAGAGGAACGCGTTTCTTAACTGTACACCTGATGCCTGTGTTAGGTGCTCAGAATGTGCTTCTTTTTGTGACGAAGCTAATGTATTCCTAGTCGTACGAAGGGACAAAGGGTTGCCGGAGTAAAGGACCTAAGGAGTAGATAACGTTTATGTAACTGTTAATTTTGCTGTCGAAAAGGTTATATTTCATGGTATAGGGCAGATGGCTCACGTGATGGTAAGGGCCTGCCATCATCCATAAACTCTTGCAACTTAAGATACACAGTGAGTAACTTTGAACGCCACCACTGAAAATTACATGATACCTTAATTAAGAAGAGAAGAACCTTGATCTCTACCTTAGAAGAAAGGAGAGAAGAATGCGTGATTAGATAACTCTATTATACAATATGACACATTTGTATTGTATACTAGCTGACCCGGCAAACGTTGTTCTGCCATATACATTATTTCTAGGAAATATTGAAAAAAATATATTTAGGGGTGGACCACCCTTAATATTTAGGGGGATGAAAAATAGATGTTGTCCGATTCTAAGACCTACCCGATATGCACACAAAATTTTATAAAAATCGGTAGAGCCGTTTCGGAGTTCAACCACGCACACCGTGACACGAGAATTTTATATATAAGATATAAAACATGGCATCTACTACATTCCTCGATAATGTTAAAACAAATAAGTAAAATTTTCAAACATGAGAGTAGAGAACTTTTGCAAAAAGAACGAAGGTGAATGTGCGTGCAATGCTTAGAAAAGATTCTTGAATAAAACAATAAATCTCATGGCCATTACATTACTTGTTTGTTGTTGACAAAGTGCGAACATCAGCAAACATTGCACACTATTAAAATATGTGACAGAGCTGTTTTCCAAACATATTGCTAGATCGATGAGCGGTTTGTTTATCCACAGCAATTGTTATACGACTGCCATTATTCTATTGTGAGGGTGCGTTAGTAAGGTGGTATCTCAGGTAGTGGTGGTGCAGTCAGCCCTGCACCGGTTTGATTGACATACATACGCGCTCGCGCAGGTACGTCTGTACAGTTTGAGAGCTCAGTCGTCCCGCGTACTTCGCCCGTGCGGTCGCCTCGTTACGAACGTGCCACAAAACCGGCCCGAATGCCGAACCAGTCGGCGGGATGGCGAGTCTCGGCGTGCTAGCAACGCCATGTTGAAACATGCGCAGCGGCCGCCGGCGGGGAACGATGCCGACCACCGCTACCAGAATATGCCGCGGCGGCCGCACCACCATCTGCCACTCAACGTGTCCACCCTGGACTCATCGAAGCACTCGGTTGGCGGGACGTCAGCGAGCGTTAGCCCTGGCGCGCAGCCTCCTCCAGCCGCATCCGTCTCTGTGGTATCCCCAATACCGGTGATGTCACCCCCCAAGATCGCTAATGGAAACGCTTCAGGGATCCATCAGCCTCGCCAGCATGTAATCAGAAGCCGGAGTTCTAGAGCTGCCACTGAGGAAGCTCTGACTTCCTTAGCTCTGCTATGTCTTGTCAGTTTGCTGCTGGCGTTGTTAGCGTTGTTGTTTCTGCTGAAGATCTCCGCGCCTGCAACCAGTGCGCCCGAGGAGTTTGCAGTGGTGTACGAAGTGACATTAGCGTTGTGTGCGTTGACGCTCTCATTGAATCTATGCTGTCTACTTGTGTGTGCTATACAGTTCCTCTTCGCAGTTAAACTGGTGCACTCGCCCTCCGCGCCAAACGGACGGTAAGTCTTGAACTTCATTCCTTAAAACCAGTACGATATCTCCGTATAGGAATTCGAAGATTGCATACACAAATATTATAATCTGTTAGGTTATTGCTTGCGGCATGCGTGTCTGCTCAGCTCCGAACGGTCTTATCTCAATTCAGGTTACGTCTTACACAACGGTGTAACTGTAAGAAAACTACAAGTTTCCGACTCAACCATCGGGTTTTTTAAGTATTTTTGTATAATTAATAATATAACTGTTGTTGGCAGTTATCTAAGGTATAATATGGTATATTAGTTTTATCAGGATGTTAGCAAGCAGGTGCTAACGGTTGCCAATGGCGGTTATTTGTGAATGATTGAATAAAAAATGTTCTATGTTCAACGGTTACTAGCGACTCGCACGTGCTGACTCCTCTGTATAGATGTGTAATTAATATTCTCCTTATAAGTTAATATTGTTTTCTATTGCGTGTAATTGGAATCCGTTACAGTCTTCTGTGTTATTAATTTCTAGCGACAGTTAGCTACTGTTATCAAAGTTTTTATTAGTGCTTATATCTTCTTTAGGAGTTATTTGTACGGATACCCTAAGGTATTAATTGGATACCATTTTTTGAAAATTGAAGTTAATTGGAATTTAAATAATTCAAGTATACCCAGTAGGTATTTATGTATATATCTACTGGGTACTCTATATCACAACGTTTACATGCAATGTGTTTAGACTTGATTTATAAACAGGAATTTGATTACACAAACTACACTTATTAAAACGAATTTGAATAATTTTTATATCAATGAACACCTGGTATTGAACAATTTTCCTTTTATTGTGAAAACATGTTTGTTTTATGAGCAATAAGGCTTTTGTTTGATTATCTTGACTCTTGCTCTTGCTCTTACAACTGATTTTGATCTTTAATAATGTGTTCGATCAAGTGAGAACTGGCAATGTAGAGAACAAATCCCATTAAACGCGAACTACGTAATAATAATAATTCACGGATCTGAAATGTTGTACTAATAGATTATAGTTTGGAATAGCACTTAGGTAATTTTTATCAAAGAAAATTTGGTTGACAAAATCGACATTAACCCGAGAGAAGCCGCGGATATAAGCTAATATCTACCTAATAATTGTTACTGTTGTAGGATGCAGATATAATAGAAAAGCGCTGCCTTAGTGGTGGGTTCGATTCCCGGACCGGGCAAAATTTTAAACGCTTTTTCTGAGAGGAAAAGTAGCCTAAGTTACTCCTTACGTAGACAGCTACCTAGTAGTATAATATTATCAAAATCGGCCCAGCCGTTTAGAAGATTACCCGGAACAAACAGACAGACAGACAGACAGACAAAAAAATATTTAAATTGGTTTTTAGGCATAGGTATCGTTGAAATAACCGTGTGAGCATGTAAAAAACCTATAATTTTGACATTACAAAAAGACAATTCAATTTTGATTTGATTTTGATTTTTTTTTTGCGTCTACTATCTAGAAAGTTTCATTATTACAAACAAAACACATATTTAGTTTAGTCGTCTATAGGGTAACGATACATTTACCATCACAGCATCCAATGATCGCGTGCTCCCATGTTTCACATAAGAAATAGATAAAAAATACCACTGAAATTAATGATACAGTTCTATTGCCCGTCATAAAATATGGTGAAAGAAAGCCTCCAAGAGTTCCCGTCAAGGTGCACAATAGGTAAGTCCTTATAATCCTGACAGATGAGAGATGGTACCTCAGTACGGGCGAGATGAGCGCTGCGTTACGTCACGGTGAGCAATCTACACACGCGATTCATCATTGGTCTATAATGCTTTTGATCGATAGATAGGATTTGAATATGAATGTGTGACTTGTATTTCAGAAGCTGGAGTAATATACCATGTATTGACACGCGACTGAAAATGTAAATCTTTATGTGAGTTATATAACTAGTAAATATTGTTAATAATAATAATAATAATACGCTTTATTGGAAACTAGAACAAAGGAAACAGTAACATTTTATGCGAAAGTGTCTGCATTAGTTAAAAGAACTGTGTCGCAGACATTAACGCCACCTCCAGCCTGGGGCCGTCAGAGTTCCATTAATAACAGTATAAAATAAGTTAACAAAATAAAACTAAACCAATCAGATCATAAATTGTTAGTAAGGCTGTGTGTGTATACATATATATGTGTGTGTGTGTGTGTGTGTGTGTGTGTGTGTGTGTGTTGGAGGAAATTTCTATTTGCAATTATGTGGTTTAGCCATAAGTTCAAGTTCTTCATAGTTCAGGGTGTGCAGCCATTGATTTGTAACTAACTTGCAAGTCCTAAGCGTAACTGGATTGACATTCAGTATTCTATTTACTCGGTTGTATATAACAGGGCTAATAAAATGATATTGACGCTTAAGGATCTCAAATCTGGCCACCTCAATATGGCACACCCTATCCGACCTCCGTATCCGGGAAATAGATACCGCGTCAAATGGCAATTCTGCATGCTTGCGCAGTATGGTGCTCAGCAAGAATGAGTGTCTGACTGTAGGGAGTTTACATAGGTCATAGAGCTCCTTGGTTGGGAAACGAATAGGCTTACGTGTCATAACTTTCAGCACAGCCCGCTGCGACCGTTCCAAAGGCAGCATTAAGGATTTTACTGAGCCACCCCATGCAGTAACACAGTAGGTCAACATAGAGTGAGCGAGAGCAAAGTAAACCATTTTCAGTGTTTGTAGGTTGGCAGCCGTTCTTAAATGTTTGAATACAAATATTAATTTACGAACTCTTGGCACCAATGATCTAATTTGCTCCTTCCAGGTCAACATACTATCCACGTACACCCCAAGGTATTTGATAAAATCTGTGCGTTTAATAGCAATACCATTACAGTTTTGAGTAGTAGAACACAGGTGGGTACTTAGGGAAAAAGAAGAGGGCGGCTGAGATGCAATTCTTGGAGAAAAAGTGATGAATTTCGTTTTTTCTAAGTTGAGTGTAAGAAGGTTATTGGCTAGCCAATTCATAATGGTTTGCAGAGCAGATACAGCAAAAGAACGTGCATCATCCCAGCTTTTACCATGAATCAGTAATACTGTATCATCTGCGTAGGTAATAATTTTAGCGTTAGATGGGGAAAGCTTGCACAGATCATTTATGTAAATAAGAAACAGGGTAGGACCGAGGACACTACCCTGAGGAACGCCGCAGTTCAGATGTTCTAATCCACTTGTATAGCCACCGATAGTAACGCTTTGGGTACGATTAGTTAAGTAACTTTTAAAAATATTGAGAGGTAGACCTCTAATGCCAATTAGTTCAAGTTTCATTAGTAAGAGCGGAATAGAGACAGTATCAAAAGCTTTAGAAAGATCAAGGAAGATGCCTATTGTTTTCAATTTATTATTAATGTTTTTAGCAACAGAACTAGTTAACTCCAAAACGGCGTCTTCGGTTTTTTTGTTTTGCCGAAAGCCATATTGGTTGTCTACAATAATTTTATTTGAATTTAGGTAATTAAGGAGTCTATTATTTAATATTTTTTCAATAATCTTGGAAAGAGTACTTAAGACAGATATAGGTCGATAGTTGCTGACACTGTCTCTATCTCCCCCCTTGTATATTGGGTGGACTAAGGCTCTTTTAAACACAGATGGAAAAGTACCGGTAGTCATAACAAGATTGAATACATGGCAAATAACGGGTATTAAAACATGTCTGGAAGCCTTAACCAGAGAGGAAGATATGCCATCCCATCCAACCGCACTATTCGATTTCAGACTTAAAATAAGGCGTTCAATTTCCTCGTTGTCTGTAACGAAGAATTTTATTTATTTGTATAGATATTTTGTGTTATATGTGTACATGCCAGTCGTGTTTTGTTTTGAGGAAAGATTATTATTACGATTAAAACCAATTACTCGAAGCGATAATATATAGCGATATAAATTTGTCAACTTTTCTTATTTTAATCATCTAATGGTCCAAAGTAGATTTAATTTGTACCTAAAATATGCGTATCTCAGATTTAAAAACTTGCATTGGTTTTACATTCCGGGCAATAAAATCAGAACCTTTGAACTAAAAATATCTTTAAGCTGAAAAGATCTAAGCAACATTCTCGTAGATTTTTTTTGCAGTTTTATCTAAGTATAACATCATTTCCTTTTGTGCAGATATGAACTTAATTAAAGGCCTAAATACATAGTTAAACGATTTAAAAATAAAAAATATTCTCTTAATAGGATCTGATTCTTAACAATAAAAGATGTGTGTAGAAGCCACAGATCGAGTAATTTGGCAATAGACGTTTTGTGTTTCCGTTGCAAGAAATACCGCCATCGCGTGTTGAAGTTTGAAGCTCTATCAAGCTTTTGGTAGTCGAAAACAGATTTGTTCATGGTGTGGATTCCGTCGCCCAAGCGTCTAAACTATTTTTTTCATTAAACATTTCTTATATTAGTTAAGAAAATTTTGTTGCTCACTACTAGAAGGATACGGAATTGTTTACGCTGCTTAAAATAAATAATGAGTTTAAAAGTAATATCAAAATTTTTAGGTTTATCGAATGCCTGTAAATGTTTTGTTTAAGCATGTTACAAAGAAACATTACATGCATATAGTAAACACAAATAATCGCCTTTTAATTTTTTGCCGAGAATGGCGCCTACGCTACTCCGATTCACCAATGTCGATTTGAATCAGACCATGTCTCCCGGTTTTAAGGAATAAAGGAACAGACAAGTCATCTGATCTTTTGTTACTTTATTTTATCGTCCGTCATTTAAAGAAAAGTGGGTTTATTTTAAACAAAGGACAACGCAAGTGGGTTTTCTAACCAAGCGCCGTAGAACACAATAGGTACCTAATTTAAAATTGGAATGTTTAAATGATAATTAAGTATGTAAGTTATGGTGACGCAAGGTTTATTATATTTTATTGCGTCTTATACCTATTTTATGCAGTACTGCATAAACTTACTTTTCGGTACTTTTCATATAGGTATTTACAATTACTCTA